ATATTGTTATATTGTATATTATACATTATATAATAAATAAATATAAAATATACTATACTATGTAATTAATATTATGTTATATTATATATTATATACTATATATTATGTAATATAATATATTTTATTATATATTAAAATAAATATAAAACACGATGTTATATATTATAGTATAATATATTTATATTTAAATTATTACCATATATTTGTTTTATACTGTTACTAGTGGAGTGCACGTGCTCCACACGTGATTTGAGTTCAATCTATATTAAGGAATCCTCTAATCATGTATTTTCTCTAGCTGACAACATCCTGACCATATCATTTATCTGAGTCCTTTATGTCTAACCATGTCCTTTGTCTCTTTATCTTCTCGTTCTGCCGCTATGTTTTTGAACTACAATATTATTGTCTTTTCATTTTTTTTCTTTGAACATATCATTTCTATCTCTAACCATGCTCTATGTTATCCTTCAAAGCAAATTAATCGAATTTTGTAGACTGAATGTGTTATGAAAAATCCATTTCTATTCTTAAAAATATATGTAGTCCTAGATCTTTTAAAGTAGTTTGTAACTATCCTATATCTATGAATTAGTCACCAAACAATGAATAGCTTATTTACTTGCAGGCAAATTTTATTAAAATGTGGGGTTTTATATTAATCTTAAGTAAACTACCTCCCTAAACCATCATCTTCATGATTTATGTGTTTTTATTAATCTTAAGTAAACTACTGCTTAGGACAATGAAATGTGTCATTTTTGTCATGGCACTATGTTGTGCTATATACTCAATTTAGAGAAATTTATTTTTTTAAAAAAATGTAAAATTTATTTGAGGTGGTTATATTATTTCACTAAGGAGTTTATAGGGGCTTGTAATGGCCTATAAGTTACAAAAATGGGAGCTTTTCTTTTTTTTGGCCTTGCTATACTATATTGCATGTTTGTCTTTAATTAGTCTTAGTGCATTACAATATGTTATTTTTTTGTTGATAGTGTATCGTGCCATCTGCTAAACTTGTGTCAATTTATTCTAAAAAGTTAACATAAATATAAAACTTTCCATTACGAAGTTTAAGGGGCATGTATGTTACACACAGACGAAGAGGCTTTAAAGCTTTGAATGCAAAAAAAATAAAATAAAAATAAAAATAAATACTTTTTTTTTGTCGTCTTATTAGACTATATAATAGGTTTATCTGTAATTAATTTTATATTTTTATAATCAAGTAGAATTATTAATCAAGTTCTTAAGAGTTTGTTCTAATAATACATTATAATTTTTAACTTGTAAAAAACAAATCAAATATTTATAAGTTATGATTTATAAATATTAAAACTTACATATAAATAAAAATTTAAATATATTTATATGTTACTTTAACTTAAATAAATCAAAATAGAGTTTGTTAGTTTTAAGAAATTTGATTTTATAGAAAACAATTTATTAAAATAAATTAAGATCTGAAAAATTTAGCAAAAAATTATAAACCCCATAAATATAAACGCGAACTACAATTTCACCTATTGATGCTCATTAATAGAGTAATGATCCTATAGGACCTTCTCCCACCCATATGTATATAACCCCAAAAGATCACCATTAAAGTTGGCACGAATCTCTATAAAAGTTATCACATGGGTGTGTGGTTTGACTTTTCTATAAATCTATGTTAAATTTAATGGTGATTATTTGAGGTCCACGCATAGGTGGAAAGAGCCTATAGGATCATTTCTCATAATAATATATATCATTTTTTGAAAAATAATTTTCGCTATTTCGTAAGAAGTAATGTACTTTTAGCATTTAATCAACATGCTGTTGACACGACTTTGGGAATGCAAATATTGTCTAATATAGTCCGTTAGGAACAGATTGTGTTCTTGATCCACATAAATAGACTTACTTAATAGCTGTTTACTATTATAAAATTTAGGTATATATGACTATATCAATATTCAAAATTAAATATTTGAATTTTAGGTTTAAAAGAATAGAAATGGAATTTTAAAGTGATTATGTTTATGGATGCTATTTCTTGAACTTAACGCAACATATTTTCCCATTTTAATATGCTACCCAAACCAACATAAAGCAAGAAAAGGTTGGCACACACGTGAGCAAGTCCTAAACGTGATAAACATTTATTGATCTCCAAGTTGGCACCAACTCCTTAATACTTTACATATAGAAGATATATAATATATATATATATTTATTTAATATAATATAATATATTACATAATATAACATATAATATATTTTGTTGTATAATAAATTTTATGTATGTAATAGATATTTATAATACAATTTTTTTTAACAAAGATAATACAATATATTATATAATAATATTTAAATAATATTTAAATAAATATGACTTTATATTTCAACATGTTGTCATTGGTACGTAAAACTTCCTTAACATTCTATCAAGTTATCAAATATATATACTCAGAATTTTTTTAAATAATTTCTTTCTTCCCAACAAAAAAAGAACTCTCAATTTTAAGGGGATATTTACATCCAGTTATCAAGCCCTAAATTTATGAAGTTATCTACTCCATAATATAGATATCTAGTGAAACGAAGAAAGATTAGAAAAAAAATCAACAACAGATTTAGATGCGAAGTAGTGCTCACACAAATTCTAAAAGCTAAGGACAGTTTTCTACAATAATCCATCCACAAATTCTAGAAAAAAAAATAATTTACCCACAAATGCCAGCTGCAAATTATAGCTGATGCTAGACCTCTCTTGAGTGTCTTTCCCTGTTTTCAAGTGCTTCACAATTCTAAATACATTATGAATCACTGCATATCCATTTCTACTTCAAATTCATGCATGCAAACCTCTAAAGAGATCATGGATATTACCATATCTGAGGAATTGAAATGATCAGTCCAAAAAGAATACAGGATATACTATTTTAAAAGTTTAAATTTTATTTTATTTTTTTCAAATTCATAATAGTAGTGGTCGAGATGATAGACCTATAAACTTTTACATCAAAAAACCATCTCCGTGAATGAATTTTGGAAGAGCAGCCTCACCGCCCTTGCTAGGAATCCAACTTCATCAGACAATAAAAAGTGTGTAATTTTTCCATTTCATGGAAAGTAAACTATGACTATAAGAAAGCATAAACAAGAAAATCCATACCATAGGAATTGGGCTTGGGCTTGATTGGTTAAAAGCTAATGTTTAGATCTCAAGTTGATACCTAGTATCAAACTACAAAAAATAAAAAATAATTCTAGACCATACCATATGCTTAAAATGAAAAAAATAATGTAGACCATACCATGCGCTCAAAGTGATTAAATGCCTGAGGGGATGAGAGACAGAAGAACCAAGAACCACTAAAGGGAGTTAATTGTAGATCTAGAAGTTTTTATATATATATACATATGAAGGGTCCCTTTATCCTTAAGCCATTGAATAATTGTTCATTTACTAATTTTTGGTCAAAAAACACCATATCCAATAGGAAAAGCATCTCAAAGCAATGGAACACAATCTCATTCATAGAAACCGTGTTCTTACAGTTAATTAATCAACATGTCCACTTGCATTATAACGGATATGGTTTACATCAGGCGTGCGGTTTGTATATAGCCGAGGCTCTAAACAATCAAATAGAGCATACCTTCAAATATTATCGAGAAATGTGATTTCAATACTAAAAATCTTTGTGATAGTCTTAAAATATATTTTCATCTTTAATTATAAAATTTAAAGCTTCAAAAATAATGTAGATTGAGCGATCTATGAAAATCTTGAAAATTGACAGTCAAAAAATGCGTTACAAGATGCATTATTTTCAAAACTTAAAATCCATATTTTTTCTCACCATCCATCTTGATGTCGAGATAATTAATTTGATGATATTTAGGAATCAAAACAACCTCTTCTAGTAAACATTTTGAGGTAGGATCTAATTTGATTGTTTAGGGCCTCGGCTCGATATAAAACTTTTCCCTTGCTTCAGTTGACCGACTCGTATTTAGATGTGATCTATTTTTTAGATGATTTTTTTAATTTAAATTTTGAGGAACATATAATCTCTAGTATGAGGAACGCTAATATGAAAAAAACGATTATTTTAAAAATTTAAATTGAAGAATAATTTTTTACTGCAGTTTTGTTCTTGCTTGAAGGTCGATGCCTTGGGCCTCACGGGGATGCCGCACTATGCGCTTAAGGTTTTACTTATGGACCCGGTTTCCATGCAGCCAAGCCCCCATATACAGAAATGCGGGCCTATTAATAAATCTATTTTTTATATAGATTTTTGGATTTAACTTTTTAGGACATGTAATCTCTAACATGAAAATCATGAATATGAAAAATAAGTAAATTTTAAAAAACTAGAAATAATAATTCTAATAGAAAAACATTTAGACTGTTAGTTTCCATTGTTTTTAGATGGAACAACTACTTGCGTACATCTTTAAGATGGATGTTTTACACTTTTTTGACCGCATATGCAGTCATACGGTCCAGCCCACATGAAACAATTTTCTTTTACTTTATTTTGATAGGGTTGTTGCACTGTCAAACTATTTTCTATTAAATAATGAAAGTACACCAGACAAAGTATAGAGAAAGAAAGATAAAAAATGTCAGTTGTTGAGTGCTTGAAACTCAATTTTGATGGTTCTTCTTAGGGGAACCAACGTAGGACTAGGATTTGGGGTGTTTGTTGTGATGCTGTGATCTTTTGTTAAGTTGCCCCTTGTGGTGTGGCTGCTACTATTTATGCTGAATTGGCAGCACTTCTTCAAGGTTTAATTATTTAGATGGACAAAAGTCTGGGGAATTCTTTGATTATAGAAGGGGATTCCGCCAATGTTATCAATTGGTGTAGTAGGTTTTTCAGACCTCTACGGTGCCTAAGGTCTAGGTAGTTGCAAATTTTGGAGCTATTAGAAGATGGCATTGTGAATTTTCACTATGTTTATAGAGAGGCGAATGCTATTGCTAACGATTTAGCCAAAAAAAGAAGTTGCTTTAGATTCTCTAGTCAGTTTGCAATCTTGGTTGTAAGCATGTTATGCATTTTGTAATGAACCCGGTTTCTATGCTGTCATGCCCGTAGAAATGCAGGCTTCTTAATAAATCTATTTTTGAGATGGATTTTAAGACTCAATTTTTAAGGACATGTAATCTCTAACATGGAGATCATGAATATGAAAAAGTAAATAAATTTTAACAACTACAATAATAATTCAAGTAAGAAAATATTTGGACTATTATTTTTCATTTTTTTTAAATGGAACACCTAATTGCATCCATCTTTAAGATGGATGCTTTACACTTTCTGGACCGTATATGCAGAAATGCGGTCCAGCCCATATGAAACAATTTTCGTTTTGTAATAGTCCGTTTGATATAATAATATAAAATATTATTGTCAAAAAAAAAAAAAATTAAAAACATCATGTGGGTTGTGGAATCCCTTTTGTTTGTATTTCCGATTTTGATTAGAGATTCAAACTGTCTCCGGGTGACGGCCGTGTCACGATAATTCGCTCGCAAGGAGGCTCGGGCTGGCCATGGGTTGGTTGGCTGCAGCATGGGCTACAAAATGTGGGCTGAACAGGGCTGGACCGGGCCTGGGCTTGATCCGCAACAGGGCTGACCCCATTAGGTATGTCTTTTGGCTTATTCTTTTCCCTTATTTACTTTTATTGTATTTGGCCCGGTTGGGCTCCCGGAGCAAAGGCTGCAAAATGAACTAGGACCTCTTTGGCCGATTTGGGCCAGGCTGGTCGTAAAGTGGCTAGGGCCACGGCTTGCCCGGCCAAGGCCCAGCCAGTCCCCAACCCGAAATAGGGCCATGAACATGGGCATTTCGTGTGTTTGTTCAGTTCAAACCCATCTCTTTCTCTCTCTAAGACTTCCAAAAATGTTTTATATGAATGTGATATTTGTGTAATGGTAAATACCGCGTTCAAGACGTTTGGGCATAGTCCCACCATTTTCTTTTATGGAAAATGGTTTCATAGGGCTGCAGCCCTATCAAAATAAGTAAGCCCCCCCTCATAACTCATAAAAATTTACATTTTAAGTGTTGAAAAACATCTAAATCGATCATCTCAGCTTGAACATTATAGTTGTATAAAAACATTAGGATTTCAAATCCTAAAAATAGTGTATATTGCAACAAATCATTTAGAGCATCAATTTCGTCCTAAAAAAATAACTGTTTATAGATCCATAAGATCTGTACCATTTTTTTAGTTTCAAATTTTACAGTCTGTGATCGATATTAATTTTAGAGCCATCATGAAGATTTTTCATATTAAAAATGCTTTCTGAATGACAATTTGAGGTGAGGCTTTATTTTGTTTTCATAAAGCCTACACTCTATAAAAACTTCTGTTCTTTGCCCCCACTTTGAATTCCTCGTCATTGAAAGTGAAATCCTTCACATTTTTTCAAATTTTTGCTTTCGACACACGGATTCCATAGAAACTTCATCCTTCTTTCATTCTTTGATTCTTTGTGACCACTTCCAATTCCTCGTCATTAAGCAAGTCCCTCTCTCTCTCCGAAGACAAGCACAAAGAAATTTTTTTACTTTTCCAAAAGTTCCGCGTTTGACTCATTGTTTCTAAGTAAAACAATCTCCTAACAAAGATCTTGTTCCTTTGTTAAAAGGAAAAATTTTATATAAAGTCGAGGCTCTAAACAATCAAATTAGAGCCCACCTCAAAAAATTTACTAAAAGAGTTTGTTTTGGTAGTCAAATATCCTCAAATTGATCATCTCGACATCAAGAAGCATGGACATGAGAAAAAATGGATTTCAAATTTTGAAAATAGTACATCTTGTAAAGCATTTTTGGATCGTCAATTTTCAAGATTTTCAAGTTTTCAAATATCTGCTCCAACTACACTATTTTTAAAGCTTTAAATTTTATAATTAGAGATGAAACTATATTTTAAGGCTATCACAAAGATTTCCATTATTGAAACTACATTTCTCGACATTATTTGAAGGTGGACTCTACTTTGATTGTTTAGAGTAGGAACTTAATCTTTCAAAACATTTTTGTTGATCTCTATCCATTATACATTACATAAATACATAATATTAGCATTATTAATATGATTTAATATATTATAATATTGCTATAATATAATATTATATATTTATATTTATTGTGCTCATTGTGGGTGATGTCCCACCCCTTGTCGATGATGTCATACCCTTTCTCATAATCATCATCATCATCATCATAATTTTAACATTTTCTCAATTAATTGGGATCAATTACATGAATTTTGGTTCTTCATTCTGCTCTATTAAAGGTCATATCCTCGATGAGGCCATAAGTCCCCATATCTTTTAAGATTACTTCCAACTACGTCCGTTTGGACCTATCCCTTCCCCTTTTCAGTCATTTTACATGAACTAACTCGCACCTCCTAACATGTGTTGTATTTGGCCGATGCTACACATGACCAGCTCACCTAAAAATAGTATAGTTTGAGTAGATATTTGAAAGATTAAGTTCCTACTCTAAACAATCAAAGTAGAGTCCACCTTCAAATAGTATCGAGAAATGTAGTTTCAATATTGGAAATCTTTGTGATAGCCTTAAAATATAGTTTCATCTCTAATTATAAAATTTAAAGCTTTAAAAATAGTGTAGTTGGAGCAAATATTTGAAAACTCGAAAATCTTGAAAATTGACGGTCCAAAATTACTTTACAAGATGCATTATTTTCAAAATTTGAAATCCATTTTTTCTCATGTCCATGTTTCTTGATGTCGAGATGATCAATTTGAGAATATTTGACCATCAAAACAAACTCTTTTAGTAAATTTTTTGAGGTGGGCTCTAATTTGATTGTTTAGAGCCTCGACTATATATAAACTTTTTCCCTTTAACAAACGAACAAGATCTTTGTTTGAAGATTGTTTTACGAACTTTTAGATAGAAACCATGAGTCAAACGTGGAACTTTTGGAAAACTAAAAAAATCTCTTTGTGCTTGCCTTGGGAGAGAGAGAGGGACCTGCTTAAGGACGAGGAATTGGAAGTGGTCACAAAGAATCAAAGAATGAAAGAAGGATGAAGTTTCTATGGAAACCGTGTGTCGAGAGCAAAAATTTGGCAAAATGCGAAGGATTTCGTGCCTACATTCAATGACGCGGAATTCAAAGTGGGGGACAAAGAATAAAACACGGATGAAGTTTTTATAGGGTCTAGGCTTTATGAAAACAAAATAAAGCCTCACCTCAAATTGTCATTTAGAAAGCACTTTTAATATGGAAAATCTTTATGATGGCTCTAAAATTAATTTCTAATACCGACTATAAAATTTGAAATTAAAAAAATGGTACAGATCTTAT